GCAAAGACGTGGAACCAGCCTACATGCCCAGAAACTGATGACTGGATAAAGAAGATGTGGTATATATACACAATGGAATACTACTCAGCCATAAAAAAAGACGAAATTGGCCCATTCACAACAACGTGGATGGACCTCGAGGGCATTATGTTAAGCGAAATAAGCCAGTCAGAGAAAGACGATCTCTATATGACTCCACTCATAGGTGGAAGTTAGTATATTGATAAGGAGATCTGATCGGTGGTTACTAGGGAAAAGGGGGGTGGGGGGAGGGCACAAAGGGGGAAGTGGTGTACCCACAACATCACTAACAAAAATGTACAACTGAAATCTCACAAGGTTGTAATCTATCATAACATTAAAAAAAAAAAAGTTTTCCAGGATTTCCAAGATGAGCAGGATTTAGAACTTGAGGCCCCTTCATAGAAACATTAGATTCTCTCATCTGGACTGATATTTAATAGGGGGCCGCCATATTGAATTTACAGGGATTCTGGTGCCTCAAGAGCTCTTTCTAACTTGTCAAATTGAGAGGAGTATAATGGATACATGAGCCTAAGAAATCAATAATAATAAAAATTGTCCTAATAATGAAGATAATGATGAGCATGAGAGTAACAGTGGATGTTTCTAGGGCACCAATTATTTATTGGTCATTCTGTTATATCACTTCTATGCATATAAGTTAAGAATATGTAATTTACCTTTTTATGTATTAATTTATATACAGTATATTATTCTCATATATTTATTTAATGTATTAATTTTGTAATATATTAATATAATACATAAATAGTAATGTGTATGACATAGAAATAATAATATAATTATATCATTAATAGTATGGCTTCTGGTGATAAAATCTTTGGCTTCAAATCCACATCCATCACTTTCTGACTGTGTAACTCTCCAAATCCTTTTTTCCCTCATCAGTAAAATGGAGATAATAATAGCACATTCCTCATTCTTTTAGTCTTCTTTTCAACAAATGTTTGGTACAAACTATGTGTCTGTGACTCTCTGAAACACTCAGTCTTTGGCAATTTAAAAAGAAAAGCATGTGACTTTCTAAACGTTACATATATTGGAGATTCTTGCCACACACACGCACAGGAAATACATAGAGCAAATCATATGTGATAAGTGTTATGAAACAAAATACAGCAAGGAAGGGGATTTACAGTTTTAAACTGGGTGGTGGGAGAGAACCTCACTGGATGTTGAGTTGGAATAAAGATGTCAAAGAAGCAAACCAGGAAGACATGGATGTGTCTGAGAGAACAGCCTTCCAGGAAGAAAAGGCTGGAAATGCACACAGCCTGAGGGGGCGGAATGTGTGAGGCAGAATCAGAAGACTCCGTAAGGGAGTAGAGTGAGCAAGTGGATGGTCATAGGAGATGACAGTCAGACAATGACAGGGAACAAATCACCTGAAGCCATGAGCCCTCTCACTGGGTGAAACCAGAAGTCCTTGGAGAACCTGAGCAGGAAGGGACATGATCCGGCTTAGGTTCTCAAGGAATCAAGATGGCTGCCATGCTGAGCTTAACTTATAAAGGAGAAAGATCAAAAACAGAGAGACTAGTCATAGATCTAACACAATAATCCATGTGAGACATGATGTTGGCTTGGGCCAAGGTGGTAGAAATGGAGGTGGTGAGAAGTGGCCAGATCCAGGATGTATCAGAGGATATGGCCACAGTTTTGCTGATGAATTGTATAGAGGATTTGTTGGGAGAGAGGAGAATATAGAAAATTGTTTCCAGGCCAGTGGAAGTGTCATGGGTATGATTTCCAGGCAGTATAAAGGCCCACCATTGAGCCATCGGTCATTCTGCTCTATTGGCTACAATTTCCGTGTCAACTGGAGGAGATGTGTTGGGGACCTGCGACTTACACCCAGATCTGATCTGAGTCTCTATTTCATGTTTGTAGGCATTACTGGGGACTGGAAAAATCACTTCACGGTGGCCCAAGCTGAAGCCTTTGATAGAATATTCCAGGAGAAGATGGCAGATCTTCCTCGAGAGTTGTTCCCATGGGAATAGTGTTCAAAATCTTCTATATCTTACATCAGTCTTAATATTTGTTTCCTGTCCTTGTATATGTGCATGACTAGAGATAATTGCATAAAACCTGAATTTCATCCTGGAGCCTTGAATTGTCAAATCCTTGCATCTTTGAGGACCTGACTGTGAAGAATCACTATGGGACCCTTGATTCACTTTGTGGCATACCAGCTCTTAAAAAAATGTTTCTAACATTTCAAACCTACAGAATGATACAGAAATAATATATTACCCAAAATTGTGTCAAAATTTTTTAATAAAATAAAGAAGCAGTTAAGGCTGCTTCTCTCTCGATTGCTTGTACCTCCACAATTTATTAATATTCTGACCTTAATGTATATGATTCCCAAAATAGAATTATTCTCTAGCTATGTGGTGTTTGACCATAAATAATATATGGTACTTATGGAGGCTTTTAAAACTTAGATAAGTGGCTTACTGTATAATGCATTCATCAACTTAAATTTTCACTCAGTATTTTCTATTTGACTTTCATCCATGTTGATTATATAATTGGTTCAGTATTTCTTATCGAGAGTTGTAACATAATTTAGTGATCAATTATCCTGTGGATGCACTTGGGTTTCTCCCCACCAGTTTTCCCCTATTTAAATCACTGTCTTGGCCTAACATATGATCGATCCTGGAAAACATTGCAGGTGCACTTGAGAAGAATGTGCATTCTGCTGCTTTTGGATGCAATATTCTGTCAATATCTGTTAAGTCCCTCTGGGCTAATATATACTGTAATTTCAACATTTCCATGCTGATTTTCTGTCTGGTTGATATATCCATTGTTGAAAATGAGATATTGAAATCCCCTATCATTATTGTACTACTGTCTATTTCTCCCTTCAGATGTGTCAATATTTGCTTTATACATTTAGGTTCTCCTGCATTGGGTGCATAAATATTTACAAATGTTATATCTTGTTGGATTGACCACATTATTGTTATATTATGACCTCCCTTGTCTCTTATTACAGTCGGTCTTAAGGCTGTTTTGCCCATATAAGTATAGTTAGCCCTGCTTTCTTTTGGTTTCCGTTTTTTTTTTTTTTTTTTAAGATTGGCTCTTGAGCTGCTAACAGCTGTTACCAATCTTTTTATTTCTTCCCTCTTCTTCTCCCCAAAGCCCCCCAGTGCATAGCTGTATGTTGTAGTTGTGAGTGCCTCTGGAATGCCACCTCAACATGGCCTGGCAAACGGTGGCATGTCTGCACCCAGGATCCGAATCAGTGAGCCCCCTGCTGCTGAAGTGGAGCCTGTGAACTTAACCACTCGGCCACGGGGCTGGCACCTAAAGTCATAATAAATTTAACAAGATTTAAATCATATAAAGCCTCCTTTGTGAACACAATGGTATAAAACTAAAATCAACTACAAGAAAAACAAGAAAATTTACAAATATGTGGAGATTAAACAACATGTTACTGAGCACTCTGTGGGTCAAAGAAGAAATCAGGGGGCCAGCCCTGTGGCCGAGTGGTTAAGTTCACACACTCCACTTCTGCAGCAGGAGGTTCACTAGTTCGGATCTCGGGTGCAGACCTACACACCGCTCATCAAGCCATGCTGTGGAGGCGTCCCACATAGAAGAACTAGAATGACCTACAACCAGCACATACAACTATGTGCTGGGGCTTTGGGGAGAAAAAGAAAAAAAAGGAAGATTGGCAACAGATGTTAGCTCAGGGCCAATCTTCCTTACAAAAAAAAAAAAAAAAAAAAGAAGAAGAAGAAATCAAAAAAATAAAAAAAAATCTAGAGATGAATAAAATTGGAAATCCAATATATCAAATCTTATTGGATGCAGCAAAAGCAGTTCCAAGAAGGAAGTGTATACCTATAAAGGTCTACATTAAGAAATAAGATCTCAACTAAACAACCTAACTTTGCTCCTCAAGAAACTAGAGAAACAAGAACAACTAAGCCCACAGTTAGTAAAAGGAAGCAAATAACAAAGACCAGAGTGGATAAATTAAAAATGGACTAAAAGTTTTGGCCAATAAAAAAGATCAAAGAAACTAAAATCTGGTTGTTTGAAAAGAGAAACACAATAGACAAACCTTTAGCTAGACTCACCAGGAAAAAAAAAAGAGAATTCAAGTCAGTAAAATTAGAAATGAAGGAAGAAACATTACAAGTGATACCACTGAACTACAAAGGATCGTAAGAGACTACTGTGAACAGTGAAATGCCAACAAACTGGACAACCTAGAAGAAACTGATAAGTTCCTAGAAGCATACAACCTACTAAGATTGAATCATGAATCTAGAGATAATCTGAACACATTAAGTACTAGTAAGGAGCTTAATCTATAATCAAAAATCTCCCAATAAACAAAGTCCAGGACCAGATGGCCTCATTCATGGGTTCTACCAAACATTTAAAGAGAATTAATACCAGCCCTCCTCAAATTCTTTAAAAAAATTGAAGAGTAGGGAACACTCCCAAACTCATTTGATGAGGCCAGCATTATCCTGATATGAAAACCAGACAAGGGCACTTCAAGAAAAGAAAATTAAAGGCTAATATCACTGCTGTACATAGATGCAAAATTCCTCAACAAATATTAGCAAACCCAATTCAGCAGTGCATTAAAATGATCATACCCAATGATCATGTGATTTACTCCAGGAATACAAGTGTGGTTCAACATCCACAAATCAACCAATGCGATATGTCACATCGACAAAATGAAGGATAAAAATCGTATGCTCATCTCAATAGATGCAGAAAAAGCATTGACAAAATTCAAAATCAATTCATGATAAAAACTCTCAACAAATTGGGTATAGATGGAATTTAGCTCGACATAATAAAGGCCATATATGACAAACCCACAGCTAACATCACATTCAATGGCGAAAAGCTGAAATGTTTCCCCTAAGATCAGGAAGAAGACAAAGATGCCCAATCTCACCCCTTTTATTCCACATAGTGCTGGAAGCTGTAGCCATGGAAATCAGACGAGAAAAAGAAAGAAAAGGCATCCAAACTGGAAAGGAAGAAGTAAAACTGTCTCCTTGCAGATGACGTCATATTAAATACAGAAAACCCTGAAACTCAACCAAAAAAAACTGTTAGAACTAATTAACAAATTCAGGACATTTGCAGGATATAAAAACAACACACAAAAATCAGTTGTGCTTCTATACACTAACAATGAACTATCAGAAAGAGAAATTAAGAGAGCAGTCACTTTTTCAGTTTCTCTAAAAGAAGAAAATACCTAGGAATAAATTCAACCAAGGCAGTGAAAATGGAAACATATCCCATGCTCACAGATTGGAAGAATTAATATTGTTAAAATGCCCAAACTGCCCAGAGCAACCTACAGATTCAATGCAATCCATACCAAAATTCCAATGATATTTTTCACAGAAATAGGACAAACAATTCTAAAATTTCTTTGAAACCTCAAAAGACCCTGAATAGGCAAAGCAATCTTGACTAAGAAGAACAAAGGTGGAGGTATCATACTTCCTGCTTTCAAACTACATTACAAAGCTATAGTAATCAAACTAGTATGATATTGGCATGGAAACACACACATCGGATCAATGGAACAGGACAGAGAGCCCAGAAATAAGCCTGAGCATCTAAGGCCAATTAAATGATGACACAGGAGTCAAGAATATACAATGGGAAAATGATAATTTCTTCAATAAATTGTGTGCAAGGATATGGAGAAATTGGAACCTTTGTACACTGCTGGTGGGCATGTAAGTTGGTGCAGCCACTTAAAGGAAACAGTTTGGAGGGTCCTCCAAAAATTAAAAATAGAACTACTATATGATCCAGCTTTCCCACTCCTGGTTATTTATCCAAAAGAAGTGAAATCATGACCTCAAAGAGATGTTGGCACTCCCATGTTCAATGCAGCATTATTCTCAATAGGCAAGGCATGGAAACAACCTAAATGCCCAACCACAAGTGAGTAGCTAAAGAAAATGTGGTCTAAACAAACAATGCAATATTACTGAGCCTTAAAGAAGAAGGAAATCCTGCCATTTGCAACGTGAATGAACCTGGAGGACGTTAAGCTAAGTGATATATGCGAGACACAGAAGAACAAATACTGCATGATCCTACTCATATGAGGTATCTCAAATAGCCAAACTCATAGAAAGAGAGCGTAGAATGGTAATTGCCAGAGATCAAGGGAGGAAAGGAAATGGCGCATTTCTGTTCAATGGGTGTCAAGTTTCAGTTACATGAGATGAATAAGTTCTAGAGATTTGCTGTACAATATTGTGCCTAGAACAAAAAACAAAACTGTATTGTGCATTTACTAATTTGTTAAGAGGGTAGATCTCATGTTAAATGTCCTTACCACAGCAAAACATTAATTAATTAGTTAAAAATAAGATGACATTCTTTAAAAAAAGAAAGAAAGAACAAAAAGATGAAGAAAAGTCTCAAATCAGTGATCTAAACTTCTACTCCAAGAAGGTAGAAAAAGAAGGGCCAAGCAAACCCAAAGTGAGGAGATGGAAAGAAATAATAAAGATAAGAGCAGAAATCAGTAAAATTGAAAACAGAAAGCAATAGAGAAATCAATGAAACAAAAGCTGGTACTTTGAAAAGAAATGAACTTGACAAAACTCTATCAAGAAATATTGAGAAAGAAAAGACACAGTTATCGACATCAGGAATGTAAGAGGAGAAATTACCAGAACCCACAGACGTTTAGAAGATAATAAGGGAGTTCTAAGAACAACCATGTCCATAAAATCAACAGTTTCTATTAAATGGGCCAATTTCTCAAAAAACAGAAACTGCTAGATGTCACCCAAGATGAAACAGATAGCCTGACTAGTCCTATAACTAATAAAGAAATTGGATTCATACTTTAATACCTTCTGAAAAAGAAATCTCCAGACCTGGTTGATTTTATCAGTGAATTCTACCAAGTCCTTAGGGAAAAATAAGACCAATTCTATACATTTTGTTCCAGAATGGAGAAGAGGAGTGATCACGTCTCAACTCGTTTTCTGAGACCAGCACTATCCTGACACTAATAACACAAGACACTACCAAGAAAGAAAACTACAGACCAAGATTGTTTACAAGCACAAATGCAGAAATTTTCAACTAAATTTTTTTTTAAAAATCGCTTCCAGTAATATATACAAAGAATAGTAATTCACGATTCATATAGGATTTCTCCCAAGAGGGCAAGGCTGACTCAACATCCAAAAATCAATCAGTGTAATCCATCATACCACCAGACTAAAGTAGAAAAGTCACATAAACTTGTCAACTCATGCAGAAAAATCATTTAGCAGAATTCAACACACATTCTTGATAAAAACTTTCATCAGACTAAGAATAGAAGGAACTTCCTGTCCCTAATAAATGCATCCACAAACTCCTACAGCTAACACCCTCCTTCATACTGAACGCATCCTTCCCAAAGTTGGAAACCAGGCAGTGATGTTCACGGTCACCACCTGTATTCACCCATATCCTGTTAGTCTGAGTCAATGCAATAAGGCAGGAAAAGGAAAGAAAAGTCACACAGCTTGGAAAAGTAGAACTACAACTGTCCTTATTTGCAGACATCATAAGATCTACAACAACAAAAAAACCCAAACTCCTAGAGCTAGCAAGAGAATTTAGCAAGATTGTAGGATACAAGAGCGATATGCAAAAATTAATTGTGCTTCAATATAGTAGCACAGTATACTTGACAACTGAAATTTAAAAAAACATCTACTATAGCACCTCCTAAAATAAAACTTAGGCATAAATAAAATATAGACAGGAGCTGTATGCTGATAACCACAAAATATCGATGGACAAAGTCAAAGACGGTCTGAATATGTGAAGAAACATAACTATGTTTGT